AACATTTGGATATGTATTTATTACAATATTTATAGTTTCTTCATTTGTTTTATAGTGACGTCCCGGGTAACTTTTTAAACTTGAAACCACACACCAGGTTTAGCTCGTTCTTTCGTGTTTCTCTAACACTTCAGTGTGGACGCTGCATGGAAGGAGCTGACCAACGTTCTTTCAGGAATATTTTGTGCTTCGCTGAACTTCATCGACTCCACCAACACCGTTCAGCCCAGCGCCTCCTTCAAACCGCTGGGAATCGTCAACGGTACAGTGAAGCTACTCAGCCCCCCATAACCTTATTTTTATGTGTTTTATTTCTTTGCTACAAATATCATTTTTAATGTTCTTTATTTGAGTTTAAAGATACGACACTGTTGTAAAAGCGATACAGCGAATCGAGGGCTGGGTCTCTGTCCAGGATGCACTTTCACCCTCTGATTTCTGTTTACCACGTTGAAATTTAAAGAGACAGACCATCGATTCCTTCGCTATGCCACCCTCCCGCGGGAAATAGTCTGCACTGAGAATTTGACACCCTGGAAGAAGCTGTTGCCCTGTGGATCCAAGGTAAACATCTTTGTTTATCTCAGCTTTCTGCTGTGGGTTAAACCAGCCAACACTTTGTGGGTTTGTGTGTGTGTGTGTGTGTGTGGTCATTAAATCTTTTCAGGCTGGTCTCGCTGTGCTGTTGAAGTCAGAGAAACTCTTCCACAGCAGTTTTTTTTCCCAGACCGTCCACATACGACCCGTGTGTCAGGATCGGGAGTGTAAAACCACGTCCTGGGAGCTGAGACAGACGCTGAATGTTGTTTTTGACCTGCACACATCTGGACAGGGCAAACGAGGTGAGAAAATAAAATTGATCTTCCTGCTTTCAGCTGATGTTTGAGTGTAGGTGACACAACTCTGGTCTTTGCTGACTCTCTGCTTTATTGTTTCAGAGTGGTCTTTGTTCAAGATGTTTTCTCGAACGCTAACAGAAGCCTGCCCCCTGGCCTCGTCCAGTAAAATATACATCGATGTCACGGATAACCCTCAGGTTAGACTTCTCATGTTCTCCTAATTTTTTTTCATCCCCAACATGGAAACGCAGATATTTTTGATTCTTTTATTTTGAAGGAGGAGTACTTTGAGCTCAGCCCGGCTACTCCGTTACTGAGCCAGGCGGTGGTGCTGGGGGACAGACGGACCTTCTCCGTCTACGATCTGACCCAGCAGGTCACCTTCGGGACCGTCCGCTCCCTCAACCTGCTGATTCGCTGGAAGTCCAGTGAGGGTGAGTGTCAGACACAGAGCCTGATGCAGCCTTGTGAGATAGATTAATAATTACACAAACTTGCTGAGTTTTAAAGGAAATAACTCTCCACACCCAGCTATTTAAGTCTGTCTCTGACCTCCTTCCTGCAGGTAGCATGCTTCGCCCCTTGCTGCACGCCGAGCGGTACGTTGCAGGATACGGGCTGCAGACGGGTGAGATCCACACCGTGATGTACAACAACCACCCCTTCAGGTCCTTCCCCGTGCTGCTGCTCGACTCCGTGCCTTGGTATCTGCGTCTCTACATCCACACACTCACCGTCACCAGCAAGGGGAAGGACAACACGCCCAGTGAGTTCAAGACCTAGAAAGCACAAACGTATTTTCAGACAAACATGAAGTTGGGTGGGGAAATTTTGAAGAAAATGTCAAAAATGACTCTGATTTGTTTGTTCTAATCATTAAATCCAACTGAGTTATAGTTTTCAGAAGTCACAACAAACGAATAATTATGTTTCCAAAAAGTTGACCTAAAATAGCAGCTGTTGGAGCAGAGTGTTGTCCTTTTCAAGGCCAGTATGATGTTAAATACTGTTTTAGACACGATTACACGCAGCTGCATGTTTTCACCACAAGGTGGGGATCACGAGTCGTGTTTCCTGATACATGGAAGACTTGTGTTTTTCTTGCTGCTCTGTTTTTTTAGTTGCTTAAACATGATCACAGTTTCTGTAATTTAACTTTTTATGAATCATCTGATGGTTGAAATGTCTGTCGCTCTCCTTTAAACAGGTTACATCCATTACCAGCCGTCCAAGGACCGCATGCAGCCCCACCTGCTGGAGATGCTGGTCCAGCTTCCTCCACACTCCGTTACCGAGGTCACGGTGCAGTTTGAGAGGGCTCTGCTGAAATGGACCGAGTACACGCCTGATCCCAACCACGGCTTCTATGTTGGGTAAGTGGATTCAAGCTTGAACATTTAAAGTAGATTCTAATGGTTTAGGGATTTTTTTATTGCTGTAAAATAAGTTTATTTTTTTTTAGACTTTTATTTAATACAACAAAATTGTTTACATTTAGGTCCTCAGTCATCAGTGCTCTTGTACCGAGCTCCGTCGCCATGGATACAAACATCACTCAGGAGCAACCACTGTTCAGCAGCTTGTGAGTTCTGACTTTGCGTTTTTAACATTTTTCCGTCTGATGGTCTGTGAAGCGCAACGTTTTGTCATCTCCCACCAGCTTTCCCTGTAAAGAGGAGTCCAGCTACTTTGTGCGTGTCTACACAGAACCTCTGCTGGTCAACCTGCCCACTCCAGACTTCAGCATGCCTTATAACGTCATCTGCTTGACCTGCACTGTTGTTGCTGTGGGTTACGGCTCCCTCTACAACCTGCTGACCCGAAGCTTCCAGATAGAGGAGCCCAACCCACGACTGGCCAAGAAGATAGCCAACTTCATCCGTAGGATAAGGGGTGTGCCACTCCTTTCGTAGTTTTACTTTTCAAAAGGGGCAGTTTAAAAAATAATAAATATGTAAAACATTCAGGGAGACACTGAGTCAAGCACTGGTTTGAATTTCTTCATTTAGTTTTTGTAGCTAATTTTGTTCACTAATTTATTTATGACATCCAGGTTTTTCTATCATTCAAAGCTTTAACATGTATTCTGTGCTGACCTCGTCAGTATTTTGTGGATGTTTCAAATGTTTTTATTACATCATAATCCAAAGTTTTACTGTAGCTGTAGTAAACATAATACATCTGTATTTTGAGGCTAAACAGCAGCACCAGCTGAGTGTTGTGTTTGTAAAGTTTCTGACCTGTTGGTCTTTCACCCAGCAGAGATAAGATAAAATGACATAAAAAGTCACTTTGACTTTGTCTCTGTGACATTTTAGTTTCTGTTTATAACCCGTGAGGCCCGGTTTCTAACAGCCGTGCATTTTATTTACTCAAAACCATTTTTAGTCATTAGGTTCCTCTGAAGTTTATTTTTACATGTGAGTTCTCTATAAATGGTTTGATTGTGGAAATAAATAAATAAAACAAAAACAATTTTTAAGCCTTTTATTTTAAAATGAACAACTCATTGGTGACTTATTTTACAAAATCCAAACAGTTAAATGCAAAAGTTTAAATATTTGCCATAATAATTTTTGTCTTGTTAAAATTTGAACACATTTTTGTGTTTAAAGCAGCTTTATGTCTCATAATAAAGAGCTTTACACCCAGTCCAGAATAATCCAGATTTTGTGTGTGGTCAGTCTGTTTTCCTCACCATTACATAAGAATCAACAACAAACACGGAGCCAGTTGCTGATGGAGCAATGTTCCACATTATAATGGAGAAATGTCTGTTTTACTCTTGCTGGACCCATTTAATAAGGGCAGATGAGGCCTTGTTGCTGATATATATATATATATATATATATATATATATATATATATATATATATATATATGTATGTATATATATATATATATATATATATATATATATATATGTATGTATATATATATATATATACATATACATATACATATATATATATATATATATATATATATATATATACATACATATATGTGTGTGTGTGTGTGTGTGTGTGTGTGTGTGTGTTTAAGGACGAAAAACTGATATGCGAAATATGTTTTCATCACATCAGGATGAAGTTGCTGAAGAACAAATCACTCAAAGTTTTAATAAACCATCAAATCCTCTCATTGATGTTATGAACTTTAGTGACCTCTTGATGCTGCACAGGACTTTCCTACAACTTTCTGTTTTACATAAAAAAATCAAACTAGAATAGATTATTTTGTTTGCTTTTTTAAAGACACTTCTTTCCTGCAGTCAAGCTCAGAAAAGACACTTATGTTATTACAGCTAGATCCTAAAATACTTTTTTTTTCACATTTTAAAATAAATACCAGAATACATCATTATCTCCTACTTCATGTTCAAAACACTTAATTTAAAAAGTGAGTATGTTTTAAATCTGCATTAAGGACACTTTTACTCCAATTGAAACAGCAGTATTGTTATGTTGCAGTGATTTTCTTATAGTTTTGACCTTAAAAAGGGTTTAAATTGATTCTTTAGATGAGTGTGTTGAGAGAACAAGACATCGTGCTGAGAGGAACAGCTGTAGGTACAGCTGTCTTGTATGCTTCATCATGCAAAGACATGCTGATCTTGCATAAATCAAGTTATATTGACATCTTTAATGACAAGATTTATGTTCCTTTTATTAAATTATTTTTCTTTTAATTAGTTACATTAAATAAAAGTAATAATGATGATGATGATGATGCTGTTTTTTCATCAAAAGATCTTCAAAGTGCTACAAGTGATCATTAAAAAACGAAAAAACAAAATGTTGACAAGGAAAGCAGTTAAAATTAAATAAAAACGTAAAAGTTAAAAACAAAACGTATAAAAAGCTATTTTGAATCGGCACCCAACAATATTTCATTTACAGTTCAGTGATATTCTTTTTAAATTAATTACGTCATGAGGTATTTTGACAATAACAGTCATATGAGATGAATGTATTATTTAATCAAGGCATTTTTTCAAAACACTTTTCTTCAGGTTCTTCTGCTTAGCATTTAATTATCCAGTCAAAGATATATGCATATAAATGACCTCGTGTTCCTGGATGGTCATGAGAAGGGGAAACAAAATGGATCACATCATCCTGGCCGGGAGTGTAGCTCATTAGTCTCTTTGCCAATAAATAGGCCTTACACAGGAACGTCCACAGCTTGTTGAACAACACTTCAGGTTACCATGGCATTGAAAATCATTATAACAACCGTGACCTCGACAATCGGGGGTGAACCGTCTGTATCCACATAATCCTGGCTTCACTGAAACAACCAAGAAAAACAGATTCAGTCACTTTGAATCCAGCAGTGACCCGACAGGAGTAAAGTGTTGAATATGCAAGAGCTCACCTCGAACTGGTGACATGCACACGTGCCCACACCCGTTGAAGCAGCATATTTCATGATGTTTGCAGTCCCAGTTACCAGAGCACTGTTCATTACATATCACCCTTACCCCTCTTATCATCGGGCACCAAGGTAGTGCTGAGAGGAAACAGAAATACACACTAAGGCTGTTAAAAGTAAAGCAAAACAACCATTTGGCTAAAAGATCTGCTGCTCTTACTTGAAACCGGAGGAGCACAGACAGATTCATGGTAATAAGTGCAACATTTTTCATTTCCAGGGCAGTCACTGTCATGATGACACTTTTGTGCTTGGTCGAATGTATCAAAGATGACTGGACATTCACCTGGTTTGCCTTTTTTGGTGTCCAACATGGTAAAAAGAGGGGAAAAACGTACAATGAGAAACAGGTTTTTACACTGGACACATCAAAAGAAAATGAATAAATAAACTTACCATGATGAGGCACCATAAGAGATGCTTCAACTGCACAAGACATTACAATCATAGCAGCTACCGTCAAACTGTGTGCCATGTTGATGTCTCTCAGTCAGCAGTCTTCTGCTGTCTCGTGTGGACAAATCTGGCTTATAAACTGTAATCTGAGCACCACAGAGAATGCTGGGTCATTGTGTTCTCCTTATTATTCTACAGATATGTGACTCACACACGACTATATTTTTGTATTTTGATAAAGTTTCAAGGAGACAAAATGATAATCAGATGGAACTGTTGGTGCAACTTACAATTTGCATGCTAAATAATAAGATGCAATCATATTTCCAAGGCTATGGTGTTTTATTAACCCCAAATATACATTATCACCTTATTGTTCGAGAATATTTGAAGACACGGCTTTGTGGACGTTAAATATTTACTTTATGGTTTGGACAATAGTCAGAAAGGCCCAAAAGGAGGATTGTGACTTTGGGTTGCATTTACACAATTTACAAAATCCACAGGAAAATTGAGAAAAAAGTAAAATAAAATGTTTGGTTTCCTAGTCAAGAAAGTCCAAATCCTACACCAGCTCCTGTGGTGGGACACACTTTTAACACCTCCCTTGGGGCCTCCTATTGGTAGGATACAGTAGGTTTTAAAGAGTATTAAAGTATCACAGGAAGCTCAAGCAGTAAATGTCATTGATGATAAAGGAAACTTTTGTTTTAAACACCAACATATTCATCTTCCCAACAGGGGATCATGATTGTAAAAAAGTTGTTCAGTCTCAGAAAAATTTGAATTATTTTATTGGTAATAGTTAATAGTTTGGTTTCCAGGAAGTCCAAACCCTACACCAGCTCCTGAAACACTTCCCTTGGGACCTGCTGTTGGTGGAACACATCTGAAACACCTAAAGTATGGCCTCCTGTTGGTGGAACATTCCTAAAATACCTCCCTTGGGGCCTCATATTGTTAGGACACACCTGAAACACCTCTCTTGGGGCCTCATGTTAGAGGAAAACACCTGAAACACCTCCATTGGGGACTTTTGTTGGCGGGGCACACCTGAAACACCTTCTTTTGGGCCTCCTATTGGTGGAACACACCTAAACCACCACCCTTGGGGCCTCATGTTGGTGGGACACACCTAAAACACCTCCCTTGAGGCCTCCTGTTGGTGTAACACACCTAAAACACCACCCTTGGGGCTCCATGTTGGTGGGACACACCTGACACACCTCCCTTGAGATTTGCTGTTAGTGGGACACACCTGAAACACCACCCTTGAGGCCTCCTGTTGGTGAAGCCTAAAACACCTTCCTTGGGGTTTCATGTTGGTGTAACACACCTAAAACACCACCCTTGGGGCTTCATGTTGGTGGGACACACCTGAAACTCCTCCTTCGGCAAGTGTTCAGGAGGAACCGTGACCAGATGCCCAAACCACCTCTGCTGGCACCTTTCAACATGGAAGAACAATGATTCTACTCTGAATCCCTCCTGGATGTCTAAGCTTCTCATCCTGACCTGCTTAGCCTCTCTGTGCAGGGAAACCAGTTTTGGTTGCTTGTATTTGAGATCTAGTTCTTTCAGTTGTTACTCAAAGCTCGTGATCAGGTGAGAGCTAGAACGTAGATCAACTGGTAAACCAAGAGCAAAGTTGTAAAGGATTTACCTGATTGTGGAGCTGGGAGCAAGGTTAATTTTTGGCAGTTCAATCCCTGCTAGCAAAAACTGGTATAGCTAATATTAATTATTTGAAAATTGTCTGTTCTTGGCCTACTTCTACTTTAGAGGTATGATGTGGTATAAAAAGGTGCAGACATGTGGCTGTATGCCAGTCTTGTGGTCATTGTGACTCTAATCTGCAGGAGGAGGCCTTGTAGAGACACATTAATCTTGTAAAAACCAAACATTTAATTTACATTCTTTAAAAACCAAGGTGAAGATATGTGGTCAGCGCTAATAGCTCAGATCTTATTCCTTTAACGAAGATACTGTTGTTTATCAAAATGACATCCAACAGTATTTTCTCCCCTAGTTACTGTAAAGTGATGGTTTTCTATAAAAATGTCTCTAAAGGATAGATATTAATGAACTATGCTTTAAAGGAGACAGTTAATGAGAAACATAAACATCATCAATATGTTAAAAGTTTATTCAAAGTACTGTGTTTTACATGCTGTCATCCACACCCTTTGAAGCAACATTTCCCATAATTTGACAGTCTAAACTTTCCCCTGACCCTGAAACAGTAGACACGCTGAACAAAATGGGAGAATCATTTATGCCACATCTGAAATCTGTGATTTGTGGAGGAGACTGTGACTTTCCAGACACGATTTTCTTAAGTTTTTTTTTACAGACAGGACTTGGCATTTTTACGACCTACTTGGAACAATGAATGTGTGCAATAAATCACTCCAGAATGTCCCAAACATCCAAAATCTCAGTAGGTTTTAAAGAGTATTAAAATATCACAGGAAGCTCAAGAAACAAATGTCACTGATGTTAAAGGAAACTTGTTTTAAACACCAACACATGATCCCCCTCTCCCTGGGCTGCCACCTTACCGTGGTGGAGGGGTTTGAGTGTCTCAGTGATCCTTGGAACTAAGTTGTCTGAGGCTTTATGCCTCTGGTAGGGTCACCCATGGCAAACAGGTCCTATGTGAGGGATCAGACAAAGAGCAGCCCGAAGACCTCTTATAATGAATTATATAAATGGAAACCATGTTCCCTCGCCCGGACGTGGGTCACCGGGGCCCCCCTCTGGAGCCAGGCCTGGAGGTGGGATACATTGGCGAGCGCCTGGTGGCCGGGCTTTCACCCATGGAGCCCGGCCGGGCACAGCCCGAAGAGGAAACGTGGGTCCCCCTTCCCATGGGCTCACCACTCGTGGGAGGGGCCAAAGGGGTCAGGTGCAGTGTGTGACGAGTGGTAGTCGAGGGCGGGGACCTTGGCGGTCTGATCCTCGGCTACAGAAGCTGGCTCTTGGCACATGGAATGTCACCTCTCTGATGGGGAAGGAGCCTGAGTTGGTGTGTGAGGTTGAAAGGTTCCGACTAGATATAATCGGACTCACCTCAACGCATGGCTCTGGCTCTGGAACCAGTTTCCTTGAGAGGGGTTGGACTTTCTATCACTCTGGAGTTGTTCCCACTGAGAGGTGCCGAGCAGGGTTGGGCATACTAGTTGCCCTCATCTTGGTGCCTGTACGTTGGGGTTTACCCCAGTGAATGAGATGGTAGCCTCCCTCTGCCTACATGTGGGGGGACGGGTTCTGACCCTTTTTGGAGACCTTGGAGGGGGTGCTGGAGAGAGAACCTTCCGGTGACTCCCTCATTCTGCTGGGGCACTTTAACACTCATGTGGGCAACGACAGTGAGACCTGTAGAAGTGTGGTTGGGAGGAACGGCCCCCCTGATTTGAATTCAAGTGGTGTTTTGTTATTGGACTTCTGTGCCAGTAATGGATTGTCCATAATGAACACCATGTTCAGACATAAAGGTGTCCATATGTGCTCTTGGCAGCAGGATACCTTAGGCCGCAGCTCGATGATCAACTTTAATGTTGTTTCATCTGACCTGCGGCCGCATGTCTTTGACACTCGGGTGAAGAGAGGGGCGGAGCTGTCAACTGACCACTACCTGGTGGTAAGTTGGCTCAGATGGTGGGGGAGGATGCCGGTCAGACCAGGCAGGCCCAAACGTATCGCGAGGGTCTGCTGGGAACGTCTGGCAGAGTCTCCTGTCAGAAGGTAGCCTAGTGAACTAGACCAAATTCTTGCTTTGCAAAGTTTGGTCTAGGCATGCTCCATTGGAACCTCAGCAGCTCCTACCAGGACTCTGGCTAGCCAATCACAGCTCTCTAGAGGGGTTTCAGACACATAAAGAGCTGTGATTGGTCCATAATGGTGGGCCAATCATAGTGCTCTATCTGCTTAGTGAACAAATCACAGAGCTTTATCCGCTTTGTGGGCCAATCAGGGCACTCTATATGCCTGGTGGGTGGGATAATGCAACAGAGTGAAACAAGAGTATGTCACATTCATTGTCCAGTGGAATGCAGAGATCATTTGAAAGACTACGGTAGAACCCGCCCCACAACCGAGAGCCGTCAATGGAGCGTGGCCAGACTAAATAATACATTTATTTAGTCTGGCTTGCCAGGCTAGTCAGAAGGAGCTTCAATTCCCACCTCCTGACAGAACTTCCAAAATGTTCCGGGGGAGGCGGGGGACACTGAGTCTGAATGGACCCTGTTCCGTGCCTCCATTGTTGAGGCGGTCGACCGGAGCTGTGGTTGCAGGATCATCGGTGCCTGTCGTGGTGACAACCCCCAAACCTGCTGGTGGACACCGGCGGTTAGGGATGCTGTCAAGCTGAAGAAAGAGTCCTATCAAGTATTTATGGCCTGTGGGACTCAAGAGGCAACTGACGGGTACCGGCAGTCCAAGCGGATTTCGGCTCAGGTGGTCACCGTGGCAAAAACCTGGGCATAGGGAGAGGTTCAGTGAGACCATGGAGCAAGACTTCCGTATGGCTTCGAGGAGATTCTGGTCCACCATCCGGCGCCTCGGGGGGGAAAGTAGTGCACTACCAACACTATCTATGGTGGGGACGGTGTGCTGCTAACCTCTACTCAGGACGTTGTGTGCTCAGGTGGTCAGAATACTTTGAAGACCTCCTCAGTCCCACCGACACATCTTCCAGTGAGGAAGCAGAGTCTGGGGACTTTGAGTTGGCCTCTCAAATCTATGGTGCTGAGGTCACTGAGGTGGTTAAAAAGCTCCTCTGTGGCAAGGCTCCAGGGGTGGATGAGATCTGCCCGGAGTTCCTTAAGGCTCTGGATATTGTGGGGCTGTGTTGGCAGACACAGCTCTGCAATATCGCGTGGACATCGGGGGCAGTCCCACTGGACTGGCAGGCCAGGGTGGTGGTCCCCTTATTTAAAAAGGGGGACCGCAGGATGTGTTCCAACTACAGGGGGATCACACGCCTGAGCCTTCCTGGTAAGGTCTATTCAGGGGTTCTGGAGAGGAGGGTCCGTCAGATTGTTGAACCTCAGATTCAGGAGGAGCAATGTGGTTTTCGTCCTGGCCGTGGTTCACTAGACCAGCTCTATACCCTTAGGGGGATCCTGGAGGGTGCGTGGGAATTTTCCCAACCAGTCTACATGTGTTTTGTGGATTTGGAGAAGGCGTTTGACTGCATCCCTCGGGGGGCCCTGTGGGGGGTACTCCAGGAGTATGCGGTACCAGGCCCTCTGATATGGGCTGTTAGGTCCCTGTATGACCATGTCAGAGATTGGTCGGCATTGCCGGCAGTAAGTCGGGCTCATTCTCAGTGAGAGTTGGACTCCGCCAAGGCTGCCCTTTGTCACCGATTCTGTTCATAACCTTTTTGGACAGGATTTCTAGACACATCCAAGGTGTAGAGGGCATCCGTTTTGGTGGCCTGAGGATCAGGTCTCTGCTTTTTGCAGATGATGTGGTCCTGTTGGCTTCATCGGAACGTGATCTTCAGCTTAGAATGCCCTCTGTGGGTCAGGGATGAGGTCCTGCCCCAAGTGGAGGAGTTTAAGTATCTCGGGGTCTTGTTGATGAGTGAGGGAAAACTGGAGTGTGAGATCGATAGGCGGATTGGTGCTGCATCTGCAGTGATGCGGGTGTTGTACTGGTCTGTCGTGGTGAAAAGAGAGCTGAGTCAGAAGACGAAGCTCTCGATTTACCGGTCGACCTACGTTCCTACCCTTTCCTATGGTCATTAAGTTTGGGTAGTGACCAAAAGAACGAGATCGCAAATACAAGCGGCCGAAATGAGTTTTCTCCAAAGAGTGGCTGGGCTCTCCCTTAGAGATAGGGTGAGAAGCTCGGTCATCCGGGAGGGGCTCAGAGTAGACCCGCTGCTCCTCCACATCGAGAGGAGCCAGTTGAGGTGGCTCAGGCATCTGGTTAGGAGGCCTCCTGTGTGCCTCCCTGGTGAGATTTTCCGGGCACATCCAATTGGGAGGAGACCTAAAGGTAGACCCAGGACACGGTGGAGGGACTATGTCCCTCACCTGTCCAGGGAACGCCTTGGGATTCTCCCGGAGGAGCTGGCCTAAGTGGCTGGAGAGAGGGAAGTCTGGGCCTCTCGCCTTAGGCTACTGCCCCCACGACCTGACTCCGAATAAGCGAATGAAAATGGATGGATGGATGGATGGATGGAAGGATGGACACCAACACATTCGTCTTCCTATCAGGGGATCAGGATTTTAAAAAAGTTGTTCAGTCTTAGAAAAATTGGAATTATTTTATTGGTAATAGTAAACAACAAAATGTTACACTTTCATTTTGAGAAAAAGTGACCCAGTAGAACAGAGATCTCTAAAGTAACATCTAACAATGAGATCTCATCCATTTTAAAGGTGACATAATTCAGTATAAACAAACTAGCCCTAAAGGAAAGGAATAATCAAATATACATGCACTCACATATCATTATAATGCCTCAGACTTCAGTGGTGCCACTAATTGGGGGATGGGGAGGCAATGCCCCCTTTGTGAATTTGCTGGCAGCAAATGTAATTTGTCAAAACAAAGAAATATATCTATAAAGCTTTTGATCTCAGTTGAAACTGTCATATACAGTGTCCCAAACTGAGAAACAATTTTTCAGTTAATGATTTGAAAAATATGCTTCAAACACTTCAGGTTAAATATGCATAAGAATAAATCCCTTCATGTTTTAATTAACCATCATTTCCTTTCTTTAATACTATGTAGAGTATAGAAATGTTTTCAGTATCACCCTGAGGGGAAACTGGAATAAAAATGTTTTGTGTTTTTTATGTTTAAGACAAACATCTTCTCTGCATTGGAGCTTAGAATTATGTTATGGACTTTTAGTTAAAAAGACCAGAATATATAATTAACACCAGCTTCATGCTCCCTTAGTTTATTATCTCTTAAATCTGCATAAAGGACACTTTTACTCCTGTGCTCTATAGAAACACCTGTATTTTTCCAGTTTAGGGATTTTCTCTGTGGTGAGAGATCAAGACTTTCTGTTGGAAAGGAACTGCTGTAGATACCAGCTAGTATGGTTGCCATGACACCAGGAAATAGTCTTGTATTCTTGATCATGAAAATACACACTGATCATGCAGACAAGTTACATTAACAGCATTAATAATGAGATTGATTTTCTTGTTTTAATTGTCTTTTTCTCTGAATTAGTTACATAAAATAAAAGTAACAATTTTACATCAAAAGATCTTCAGATCTACAGGTGGTCATTACAAAAAAATAAATGAAAACTATTAAAAAGTAAAAAGCAAGTAGTTCATAAAATTAAAACTGCAAAGTAAAAGACAAAGTTTATGAAAAACAATCTTTAAACTGGCACCAAACAATGCTATTTATTTAGTTAAGAGATGCGTTTTCAAATGTAATCATGTCAGGAGTCATTTTGTCAAGAAACAGTATTAAAAGATAAATGTTATTATTTAGTCAATGCATTTGTTGAAAAATACATGTCTTCTTCAGGCTGTTACGCTTAGTAATTTATTATCCTGTCAGACATTTGTACAGAAGTGACCTCATGTTCCTGGACAATCGTAAACATGAGGAGAAAACCAGAATGGATCACAGCATCCTGGCCGAGAGTGTAGCTCATTAGTCTATTGGCCAATAAATAGGCCTTACACAGGAATGTCCACATCTTGATGGACAACACTTCAGGTCACCGTAGCATTGAAAATCATTATGACAACTGTCACCTCGACAAGTGCGAGTGAACCGTCTGTCTCCACAAAATCCTGGCTTCTCTGAAACAATCAACAAAGAAAAGATTCAGTCACTTTGAATCCAGCACTGACACGACAAGAGTGAAGTGTTGAATATGCAAGAACTCACCTCGGTTTGGTGACATGCACACGTGTCCACACCCGTTGAAGCAGCATATTTCATGATGTTTGCAGTCCCAGTTACCAGAGCACTGTTCAATACAAGTCCCCATTACCCCTCTTATCATCGGGCACCAAGGTAGTGCTGAGGAAACAGAAATACACAATAAGGCTGTTAAAAGTAAAGCAAAACAACCATTTGGTTAACCGATTTGCTGCTCTTACTTGAAACCGGAGGAGCACAGACAGATTCATGGTAATAAGTGCAACATTTTTCTTTTCCATGGCAGTCTCTGTCATGATGACACTTTTGTGCTTGGTCGAATGTATCAAAGATGACTGGACATTCACCTGGTTTGCCTTTTTTGGTGTCCAACATGGTAAAAAGAGGAGAAAAACTTGCAATGAGTAAAATGTTTTTACACTTCACACAACAAAATGAAAATAATAATAAATAAATAAACTTACCATGATGAGGCACCATATGAGAAGCTTCAACTGCACAAGACATTACAATCATAGCAGCTACCGTCAAACTGTGTGCCATGTTGATGTCTCTCAGTCAGCAGTCTTCTGCTGTCTCGTGTGGACAAATCTGGCTTATAAACTGTAATCTGAGCACCACAGAGGATGCTGGGTCATTGTGTTCTCAGGGTTATTATTCTACAGATATGGGACTCACACATGACTATATTTTTGTATTTTGATAAAGTTTCATGGAGACAAAATGATAATCAGATGGAACTGTTGGTGCAACTTACAATTTGCATGCTAAATAATAAGATGCAATCATATTTCCAAGGCTATGGTGTTTTATTAACCCCAAATGTACATTATCACCTTATTGTTCGAGAATATTTGAAGACACAGCTTAGTGGACGTAAAATATTTACTATAAGGTTTGGACAATAGTCAGAAAGGCCCAAAAGGAGGATTGTGACTTTGGGTTGCATTTACACAATTTTCAAAATCTGTTGGAAAATTGAGAAAAAAGTCAAATAAAATGTTTGGTTTCCTAGTCAAGAAAGTCCAAACCCTTTACCAGCTCCTGTGGTGGGACACACTTTAAACACTTCTCTTGGGGCCTCCTATTGGTAGGATACAGTAGGTTTTAAAGAGTATTAATATATCACAGGGAGCTGAAGAAATAAATGTCATTGATGATAAATGAAACTTTTGTTTTAAAAACCAACATATTCGTCTTCCCAACAGGGGATCATGATTGTAAAAAAGTCGTTCAGTCTTAGAAATATTGGATTTTATTGGTAATAGTTTATAGTTTGGTTTCCTAGTCAAGGAAGTCCAAACCCTACACCAGCTCCTGAAACACCTCACTTGGGACCTCCTGTTGATGGAACACATCTGGCACACTTCCCTTGGGACCTGCTGTTGGTGGAACACATCTGAAATGCCTAATGTATGGCCTCCTGTTGGTGGAACATTGCTGAAATGCCTCCTTTGGGGCCTCATATTGGTAGGACACACCTGAAACACCTCTTTTGGGGCCTCATATTAGAGGAGCACACCTGAAACACCTCCGTTGGGGACGTATGTTGGTGGGACACATCTGAAACACCTCCTTTGGGGCCTCTTGTTGGTGGGGGACACCTGAAACACCTTCTTTTGGGCCTCCTATTGGTAGAACACACCTAAACCACCACCCTTGGGGCCTCATGTTGGTGGGACACACCTGAAACACCTTCTTCAACAAGTGTTCTGGAGGAACCGTGACCAGATGCCCAAACCACCTCTGCTGGCATCTTTCAACATGGAAGAACAATGATTCTACTCTGAGTTCCCTCTTGGATGTCTAAGCTCCTCAACCTGACCAGCTTAGCATCTCAGTGAAGGGAAACCAGTTTTGGTTGCTTGTATTTGAGATCTAGTTCTTTCAGTTGTTACTCAAAGCTCATGATCAGGTGAGAGCTAGAACGTAGATCAATTGGTAAACCAAGAGCGTAGTTGTAAAGGATTTACCTGATTGTGGAGCAGGGAGCAAGGTTAATTTTTGGCAGTTCAATCCCTGCTAGCAAAAACTGGTACAGCTAATATTGATTATTTGAAAATTGTCTGTTCTTGCCTACTTCTACTTTAGAGGTATGATGTGGTATAAAAAGGTGCAGACATGTTGCTGTATGCCAGTCTTGTGGTCATTGTGACTCTAATCTGCAGGAGGAGGCCTTGTAGAGACACATTAATCTTGTAAAAACCAAACATTTAATTTACATTCTTGACAAACCAAGGTGAAAATATGTGGTCAGCGCTAATAGCTCAGATCTTATTCCTTTAACGAAGATACTGTTGTTTTTCATAATGACATCCAACACTATTTTGTCCCATAGTTACTGTAAAATGATGGTTTTCTATAAAAATGTCTCTAAAGGATAGATATTAATGAACTATGCTTTAAAGGAGACAGTTAATGAGAAACATAAACATCATCAATATGTTAAAAGTTTATTCAAAGTACTGGTGTTTTACATGTTGTCATCCACACCCTTTTAAGCAACATTTCCCATCATTTGACAGTCTAAACTTTTCCCTGACCCTCAAACAGTAGACACGCTGAACCTAATGGGAGAATCATTTATGCCACATCTGAAATCTGTGATTTGTGGAGGAGACCGTGACTTTACAGATACGATTTTCTTAAGCTTTTGTTCACAGACAGGGTTCAGAATTTTTACGACCTACTTGGAACAATGAATGTGTGCAATAAATCACTCCAGAATCTCCCAAACATCCAAAATCTCAGTAGGTTTTAAAGAGTATTAAAATATCACAGGAAGCTCAAGAAAACAAATGTCATTGATGTTAAAGGAAACTTTTGTTTTCAACACCAACATGTCATGAACTCCTCCTCTTAACCTCCTCTGCGGGCCTGGCTGGCACTACACTCCAGTTCCCAGCATCCCTGTCACCGACACTTCCCGGTGACGTCATCCCGCTGAGCCTATTTAAGGACCTGTAACAGCTGAGCCGGCACTCAGTCATCATCTCACGATAGACGCTAACCTATTCTCAAAACGCCTAAGCCTAATCTGCCATCTCTAAAGACCATCCGGGAAGAGAACTTCCCATGCTGTAATCAGTCACGACCAAATACCAGTCTCTCCGCGCCTGGGTCACCAAGCCACACTCCAGCTCAGCCGATCGTACCTGACACAACACATGATCCCCCTCTCCCTGGGCTGCCATCTTACGTGGTGGAGGGGTTTGAATGTTTCAGTGATCCTAGAAGTTAAGTTGTCTGAGGCTTTATGCCTCTGGTAGGGTCACCCATGGCAAACAGGTCCTAGGTGAGGGATCAGACAAAGAGCAGCCCGAAGACCTCTTATAATGAATTATATAAATGGAAACCATGTTCCCTCGCCTGGAGCCAGGCCTGGAGGTAGGGCACGTTGGCAAGCGCCTGGTGGCCGGGCTTTCACCCATGGAGCCCGGCCAGGCACAGCCCGAAGAGGAAACGTGGGTCCCCCTTCCCATGGGCTCACCACTCGTGGGAGGGGCCAAAGGGGTCAGGTGCAGTATGTGACGGGTGGTAGTTGAGGGCGGGGACCTTGGCGGTCTGATCCTCGGCTACAGAAGCTGGCTCTTGGCACATGGAATGTCACCTCTCTAGTGGGGAAGGAGCTTGAGTTGGTGTGTGAGGTTGAGAGGTTCCGACTAGATATAATCGGACTCACCTCAACGCATGGCTCTGGCTCTGGAACCAGTTTCCTTGAGAGGGGATGGACTTTCTACCACTCTGGAGTTGTTCCCACTGAGAGGTGCCGAGTAGGGGTGGGCATACTAGTTGCCCCCCATCTTGGTGCCTGTGTGGCACTATGTGAAAGACAGAGACATGAAAATAGTAGCCCCCCATTTTATTTTAGCCTCAAAGACACTTTCTTTTAGTAAGGCCACTACAATGTCAGTTCTATTGTTATATACGTTCTGCCAGCAGAGGGCGCTCAGTCCTGTACACATCGGTAGCTGACCCTACACTAGAAGAAGTAGTGTCAGTGGTGGAGGGGCAGTGTACGGCCTGCGTGCTGAAAGAACTGATTAATCAGATATTTTTCTGTCTTTACAGGTAAGCTGGGGGGTTGCTAAGATAAACAGATGTTATAATAGTGACAGACAGCAGTGGCAATTAATGACGAGTGTCTTGTGTGTGGTGAATGTTAGGCTAAAGAGCTCATTTCCAAGTTGGTCCAGTTGTTAGCCTGTGCCGATTCAAGTATTAGACTGTACCGAAAACTGGCAAGTTCATGGCAGGTGTATTTTGGGTTAAAGCCACAAGAGGTATGTTTTGCACAATAAGAGAAGATGTCAATTGATGCATGCTTAGTTCCTGAAAAGTGAATGCTGTAAAAATACGCTAAGGAAAGATGTTTATCTGAAAGAAATCTAGTTTGATAAATACAGTTACGAAGACAGGTTCATAAATAGCTTAAAACAGTAGTAAAAACAACCAGATAAACCTAATGAGAGTTCACTGTGTTATTCATGGGTGTAGTAAAATGTATTTTGGTGATTTAACCAGTTATTAAAATTGGTGCATATGAATATAGAACTGTATAAGTTACTTGTATAAGGTAATGTCAGCTACACTAGAAGAAGTAGTGTCAGTGGTGGAGAGGCAGTGTACGGCCTGCGTGCTGAAAAAACTGATTAATCAGATATTTTTCTGTCTTTACAGTTTTTCTGTAAAAATAAATATGTTCCACGGGAGATGAGTTGGCCCATCATTTCAGAAGTGTAACATATTTTGGCGAGCCAGCCAGGAGGTGGCGCCAGTGAGTCAACACGATCACCAACCACCTTCTTTCCCAAGAGACGAACCTTCAATCAAAAGAAATGGAATCTCTGCAACCTCTGCGTGATGAAGTGAGTGCAGCCTTGTGGCAGTTGGAGAGAGAGCATCTTGTGGACGTCTGCAGGCGACTGAAATGTTCTGGCCTGGACAGCGCAGAGTCTCACAGTAAGACCAAGAGGACACTCATCAGGTTGGCAGAGGACATGTTTGATGATGTGGAGAAAAGTGAGGAGGAGGATCAAATGAAACAGTTGTATAAAGACATGGCTGTGTACATCCAGGGACTAAGCAAAGGAGAGTGTCACTCAGAGTCTGGGCAAAAGAAAGGTTTTCAGGACACCACAGGTACTATACCAACACAGATTGCAGATCTCCCACCTAGAGCCCAATCAGAGGCGATGCGAACTCTGCAGGAGGTGACATTGAGGAGGGAGTTTAAAATCTGTGGGCAGATTGGAGAGCATGGGCAGAAGGAAAAGCTATCCTATCTCAGCCTGATTCGCCAGATCGAGAATGGGAGTGAAAAAGGGCACTCGGACACTGAAATAGTGGAAGCAGTAATTAGGGCCATTAGTCCAGGAACACCCCTAAGA